TTGTTTGTCAAACATGTACAAGATAGCAGTTAAATGTCAACTTGCAAAGCTTTCAAGTTGCCATGAGCAGGAGGGAGGGAGAACTGAAGTGAATTCCATACATTCTTTCTGACCGCAATCAGAAGGAGGGTGTTAGGTTTCACAGCCAGCCAAAGTGGTTAATTGGAGAATGTGATTTATGACATGGCCAGGGGGGAGGGGAGAGACAGGGTCATAGGGGAATGTAAATCTACGTGGGATCAGTCCTGACTGCATCCGAGTATTGCCGAAATGTTGCTCCTAATAAATCACTATATTTCCTTTAAAGTTTGGATCATGGCTCATGAATTAATTAGGGCATCTTTCGGAGACTTGACATTATAAACATAAACAAAGGAAGTAAGTATAGATAAATGAGGACAGTAGGACAGGGATGGTAGTCAAGCTGGTGCACTTATGCATGCCCCCTTTATGGACCTCTAAGGAATGGGGTGAGGGCAGGGGTGAATTCCAGCAGGTTCTAACAGGTTCTGGAGAACCGGTAGAAGAAATTTTGAGTAGTTCGGAGAACCGGCAAATACCACCTCTGGCTGGTCCCAGAGTGGGGTGGGAATGGACATTTTGCAATATCCTTCCCCTGCTATGCCCACCAAGCCACACCCACTGAATCACCCCTGGGTGAGGTCCACAGTAGACAGTTTGAGGTTGAAGCTGTGAGGGGTTTGAGCCTGTAACAACGGAGTCGGGTATAGCATTCCAGGCGTTGACCACTCTGTTACTGAAGTCGTATTTTCTGCAATCGAGTTTGAAGCGGTTTACCTTGAGTTTGTATCGATTGTTTGCCCATGTATTGTTGAGGTTGAAGCTGAAGAAGTCGTTGACAGGTAAGACATTGTAGCAGACAATTTTGTGTACTATGCTTATATCGGATGGCAGATGGCGCAGAATTTCAGGTCTGGTGGCATAAGGGATTCTATTGTGAGTAGAGGAGTGGAGTACTCTTCTCGTGAAATACCTCTGGACCCGCTCAATCTTGTTAATGTCTGATATACAGTGCAGATTCCAGACGGATGAGCTGTATTCAAGAATTGGTCTGGCAAAGGTTTTGTATGCTCTAGTTAGCAATACAATGTTACCGGAGAAAATGGAAGGACAGAGGGATGTCTTTAACAATTTTTTTGAAATCTTGAGATAGAGCTTGAAATAGCAAATAACTGATCTCTCTGGCACAAAGAAAGACTAGATCAGCCTAATTAATCTCACCACTTTTTATTTGGCTAAGAGGCCTTTTGGTATTCTTCAGAGAGATTCCCAGTTAAAAGACAATGAACCATAAAAGAATAACAGAGTTAGAAGAGGCCTTGGAAGTCTCTTAGTCCAACCCCCTGCTCAGGCAGGAGATCCTATAGCCATGATGGTGAACCTATGGCACGTGCGTCAGCACTTCAAACTACATTCAGCATACAGTGCTGACATAAGGAGGAGAAGAGGGGGCAGCTGGCAAGAGGACGCTTGACTTTTCACCTACTTATTTTCCCTGAAGATAATATCCCCTAGGAGATGGGTTGGGAGGGGGGCACATTTCTGGGAGCTGAAGTAGTAGATATGGAGAGAGTGATTTGGAAGATGGCCAATGAGACGCAGAGAATTGGGGCACGGAAAGGGAAGGTTTGGGGGCAGGAAGTCAGTGTTGGCTTCGACATAATCGGGGACAGATTGTCATGCTTAATAAATGAAAGATTTCATCAAAGACTATCTGTTTGGAAAATGCAATTTATTCGAGACGACATCAAAACCTGACACCATATCTGTGGGCACACGAGCATTGCCCTAGCTCAGCTCCAGTGCATGTGCATGTGCCGGCCAGCTGATTTTCGGGCCTTCTGGGCCCACCGGAAGTCGGGAAACGGGCCATTTCCGGCCTCCAGAGGGCCTCCAGGGGTGTGGGGAAGGCCGTTTTTGCCCTCCCCAGGCTCCGAGAAAGCCTCTGGAGCCTGGGGAGGGTTAAAAACAGGCCTACAGGGCCCACCAGTAACCTTTTTGCCATCACGTGCCAAAAGTGGGGGGAGCGCAGGGGGGATTGTGCACAGGGGGGCGGGGCACAGGGGGCATTGAATTATGGGTGTGGGCACACATGTGTGCTACCCCACACACACACACACTCCCCCCGCTTTTGGCACACGATGGCAAAAAGGTTAACCATCACTGTCCTATAGCATTTCAGGCAAATGGCTGTCCAGTCTCTTCTTGAAAACTTCCAGTGATGAAACACTCATAACTTCAGGAAGTCAGCCATTCCATTGATTGATGGTTCTCACTGTTGGGAAATTTCTCCTTAATTCTAGGGTTGCTATGGAGATTCTCAGTCATCCAGGTCATGGTTCTTCCAAAGGTACTTTTTCAAGAGGCAACTGGACTTTCTGATGTTGTGTGTTGTGGTTGTGTTTTTTTTTTTTGAAGATGTTTTGCTTCTCATCCAAGAAGCTTCTTCAGCTCTGACTGGATGATCCGGTCTTTCCATTCCCCACCATCCAGTCAGAGCTGAAGAAGCTTCTTGGGTGAGAAGCGAAACGACTTCAAAGAAAAGCAAGGAAGTCCAGCTGCCTCTTGAAAAAGCATTTTTGAGACCTTAATTCTAGGTTGGTTCTCTCCTTAATTAGTTTCCATCCATTTCTTCTTGTCCTGACTTGGAGAATAGCTTGACTGCCTCTTCTTTGGGTCAGTCCCTGAGATATTGGAAGACTGCTATCATGTCACCCCTAGTCCTTCTTTTCACTAGACTAGACATACTCAATTCCATAGAACAGGGGTCTCCAACCTTGGTAATGTTAAGCCTGGCGGACTTCAACTCCCAGAATTTCCCAGCCAGCTTTCCCAGGGGTCTCCAACGTTGCTTCTATGGAGACCCCTGCCATAGAAGGTCATTTGCTAAAGACCAGGCCAGAAGGTAAATGGAGCTACAGCTCAAAGACTTGAGGGACCATGCACTCCTCCTTCTCCTTCCCATTTAAACTCTTCTAAATAGGACATCCTATTCTCATCACAACTCCCATTAGAGGGGTAATTAGAGATGCCAAGCAATCGTCATTAGCGACTTGACTCACAAAGATACTTAAGAAGATATTTTCCACCCAGCATTTTTCATTACCGGGATTTTCTTAATAGGTTTACTAATGTCAGAAATAGAGAAATTGCTGTTTTCTCGAGACGAATGAGCTTCATAAATTAGGTGTGGGGAGGGGAGGAGTAACGGTGTGGATGTAATAGATCTTCTCTTAATCATAATGTTGGCCCAGAAAATCCTGTGAAGTTTGCATCTCGATGTTAGGTTATTTTTTTTATACAATATTAAACATTTTCCGCTTTCAGACCACATGCTCATTGCCTGGGACACTCTACCTATGACCTTAAGCATCTACAAAATGTTCATCGGTTGGAGGTCACAATTTCCACCTAAACATCTTCCTTTGTAGTAGAGGTGATCGTTCATCCAAGGGTTCCTGAAAACATGTCCCAACCAGGCTCCATGGATAGTGGAGGAGAAGAAACTCATGTTCTACTCTTAGAGAAATAGGCAGGTTTGTGGAACTGATGTCCTTTTTCTCTCTAAACGGAAGTGGTTGAGGGGTCCTTGGTGCTCTCTGAGCTTGGTGCTTTTCTTGCAGATGTTTCATGACCCAACTAGGTAACATCATCAGTGCTACAAGGGAGTGGGGATTTGGGGAGAGAAGGAGGAGGAGGAGGAGGAGGAGGAGGAGGAGGAGGAGGAGGAGGAGGAGGAGGAGGACTGTGGGGTCCTTGTGTTCTCTGAGCTTGGTGCTTTTCTTGCAGATGTTGTGTTACCCAAACTAAATAACACCATCAGTGCTAGAAGGGAGGAGGAGGAGGAGGAGGAGGAGGAGGAGGAGGACGACGACGACGACAACTGTGGGGTCCTTCATGCTCTCTGAGCTTGATGCTTTTCTTGCAGATATTTCATGACCCAACTAGGTAACATCATCAGTGCTACAGGGGAGTGGGGGTTTGGGGAGAGGAGGAGGAGGGGGAGGAGGAGGAGGAAGAAGAGAGGACTGTGGGGTCCTTCATGCTCTCTGAGCTTGGTGCTTTTCTTGCAGATATTTCATGACCCAACTAGGTAACATCATCAGTGCTACAGGGGAGTGGGGGTTTGGGGAGAGGAGGAGGAGGACTGTGGGCTCCTCCTCTGAGCTTGGTTATTTACTTACAGATGTTTCATTACCCAACTAGGTAGCAACATTAGTCCAGATCATGTTACCTGAGTTTGGCGCTGATGATGTTAGCTATCGGATCCGGTGTGTTGATAATCATAGGTCAAGCAGGCCTGGTTTACCTTTCAATTTTGATTTTCTGACCTTGTGATCTTCACCAATTCATTGTCTTCTATTCTACTATCCCGTAATGGGACAAAAGAGTTGGAAGGGACCTGGAGGCCATCTACTCTGATGCCCTGCTGAAGCAGGAAACCCTACACCACTTCAGACAAATGGTTGTCCAATCTCTTCTTAAAGAGATGTTGGACTGCCCTGAGAAGGTAAGGGTGACGGTGGGGGATGGAGAAGCAGCCAGGATAGAGACAGAGAGATACAGAGAGAGGGGAGAGAGAGATAGAGAAATACAGAGAGATAGAGGGGGGGGAAAGAGGGAGGGAGGAAGAGGAGAGAGAGAGAGATGTCAAAAGGATTTTGTGGTTCTCTGCCCTAATGACCGGCAGGGTAGGCGTGGCTACGAGGGGAGTCATGTGACTAATGGAAGTGAGTGACATTGAGTTGGCCACGCCCACCCAGACTTTGTGGCTCCCGGTCTTTTCTTTTCTGTGGGAAACGGGTCCAAATGGCTCTTTGAGTATTTAAGGTTGCAGATCCCTGGCATAGGTTCTGCTTGAATAGGGGCTGGAGTAGAAGACCTCCAAGATCCCTTCCAGCTCATTCTATTCTACACCAGAGTTACTCACTCTTGGCCACTTGAAGATGAATGGGCTTCAACACCCAGAATCCCCCAGCTTAGCAATTACTCGCTGTTAGCTTCCTACCTGTGTCAGCGATACGTTTAATGGCCGCCCAGGAATTTCGGATGGATTCCGAACAGCCAACCCCGCTTTTTTTGAAATCTTCGGTCACTATCTTATGAAAGGAACCACAGGGAACCAAGCTGTCGAACTGCCAAATGGGGGCCGATGCAGCCAGGCTCTGCAACCGGAGAGACAAAATACAGGTAATAGTCGATTTACAACAGTTCGCTTAGTGACGGTTTAAAGTTACAACGGCACTGAAAACAGGGACCGATGACCGTTTTTCACAATTATGACCGTTTGTCATGTTATTTACATTCAGATGCCTAAAGTCACTCAGCCGGCTTTCATGCCTAAGGCGGGATTAGAACTCACAGTCCCCTGGTGATTGGCCACATTTCACCCAGTCAGCTTTCATGCCTAAAACGGGATTAGAACTCCTGTAGATGGGCCAAAGTCACCCAGCAGCTTTCACACCTAGGCGGGACTAGAATTCACAGTCTCCTCGTGATTGGCCAAAGTCACCCAACTGGCTTTCACACCTAAGGTGGGACTAGAATTCACAGTCTCCTCGTGATTGGCCCAAAGTTACCCAACCAGCTTTTATGTCTAAGGCAGGATTACAACTCACAGTTCTCTAGATTGGCCTCATTTCACCCAGTCAGCTTTCACACCTAAGGGCGAGACTAGAACTCACAGTCTCCTCATGATTGGCCCAAAGTCACCCAGCCGGCTTTCACGCCAAGGCGGGACTAGAATTCACAGTGTCCTTATGATTGGCCCAAAGTCACCCAGCCGGCTTTCACGCCAAGGCGGGATTAGAATTCACAGTGTCGTTATGATTGGCCCAAAGTCACCCAGCCGGCTTTCACACCTAAGAAGGACTAGAACTCACAGTCTCCTCATGATTGGCCCAAAGTCACCCAGCGGCTTTCACGCCTAAGGGAATTAGAATTCACAGTGTCTCATGATTGGCCCAAATTCACACAGCAGGCTTTTCACGCCTAAGGCAGGACTAGAACTCACAGTCTCCTTATGATGGGCCCAAAGTCACCCAGCCGGCTTTCATGCCTAAGGCGGGATTAGAACTCACAGCCTCCCGCTTTCCAGCATCGTGACCGCTAAACTCTAAATCTAAGTAGTAATCAAAAGCAGTATTGATCGAAGTAGTAGTAATGAAAAACCACCAGCGGAGGAAGATGAAGCGAGATTCAGAAACTAACTGGTTCCTCTGTGGTTCCACAGGAGAGAGTGCCAAGTTGCTCCAGACTTACCCAATTACTACGTGGGGGTACTTCATTCGGAACCAGGCAGCAAGCATTCCGCCATAAGACCCTCCTATGGCTATCACTGGAGTATTCTGCGTTCCAGGAATCGTATTTTTAAGTGCTGGATAAGTACCGCAAAATCAGCCAGAGCTTGCTGCGAAGTCAAGTAATTCAAGTGCTTAGCATCCTGAAACGAGAGCACAAAACTTTTGTATGGCGCTCTTAGTATATTTACTCACCTTTCCTGCCCGACAAAAGACTTGTGGACTTCAACTTCTGGGAGATTTGATTTTGTTTGTCATGTCTCAAAAAATGGGATCACGTGACCCCACAACTGTCATAGATATGAGTCAATTGCCGAGCATCTGAATTTTGTTTTTGTTTTTTCCGTGTTTTTATTGTTTTATTTATATAACATTCAATTTCCATCCAACAGTGTGCGATCTGGGTACAGTTATTTTTAAACATTCATAGTCCCCATATTTGTTATAATATTCATCACGATAATATTAATAATATAATATAGTAATACCGAAAATATTTTCCCCGAAAATAAGCCCTCCCCTAATAAGCCCCCCCCTAAAATAAACCCTCCTCTGAAAATAAGCCCTCCCGAAAATATTTAAACAGTCGGTCCCCGCCATTTCCTGTGGTTAGGGCAGGGGTCAGCAACCTGCGGCTCTGGAGCCACATGTGGCTCTTTCACCCCTCTGCTGCGGCCCTGTCACTCAAAATATGCATCACAACCGCCAATGTGCAACACCCACCGCACGCAATTTATTGAGCTTTTCATGGTAGGCCAACCATGGATAAATCCAAGAAAAGAAAAGTCTCAGAAGAAAACAGAACCTTTAATTCAACTACAGATGCTAGTTTTGTGGCCGCTCAAGAAATAGTCAGGCACGGGAAGGATTTTGTGGCTCCCAGTTTTTTCTTTTCTGTGGGAAACGGGTCCAAATGGCCCTTTGAGTGTTTAAAGTTGCAGACCCCTGGGTTAGGGTTAGGAAGACAGAGCTAGAAATCAGGTAAAACAGCTCCATGTGCCTCAAAATAATAAGACCTCCCTGAAAATAAGGCCAAGCGCTTATTTCAGGCTTCAAAAAAATATAAGACAGGGTCTTATTTTCGGGAAAAGATGGTATAATAACAATAATACTTAACATCATCTTCTTTAACAATTCTCCACCACATTTCTCTTTTTATTTTCTCCTCCTTTCTAACTTCTGTTTCTATTGTCTGGCCATTGATAAAATATATCCCATATCAGAAAATATTCCGTTTCTTCTTTATCCTTAATAGTGAGCGTTAATCTTTCCATTTCTGCACATTCTAATATTTTCTTAATTACATTCCCTCAGACGGAATCTCATCATTTTTCCATTGTTGTGCAAATACGATTCTAGTTGCAGTTAATATATGCCAAGTGCAGTGGTGGGTTTCAAAATTTTTACTACCAGTTCTGTGGGTGGGTTGGTGGGCGTGGCAGGGGAAGGATCCTGTAAAATCTCCATTCCCTCCCCAGTTCAGGAGAAGGATACTATAAAATCTCCATTCCCTCCCCATTCAGGAGAAGGTTACAGCAAAATCCCCATTTCCTCCCAATCAGCTGGGAATTGGGAGGCAGAGAACAGATGGGGGCAGGGCCAGTCAGAATTTTTACTACCGGTTCTCCGAACTACTCAAAATTTCCACTACTGGTTCTCCAGAACTGGTCAGAACATGCTGAAACACCTCTGGCCAAGCGTCTGAATTTTGATCACATGACAATGAGGAATGCTATAACGGTCATAAGCGTGAAAACTGGTACATCATTCTTTTCAGTGCCGTTGCAACCTTGAATGGTCACTAAATGAACTGTTGTAAGCCGAGGACTGCCTGTAGAGCCGAGTTCAACGTATGAGTAGTCAATCTGTGACTACTTTGAATTGGGAGTGATACTTACGGTGTATGACTTATTTCCGAACGGCAAGGATTCCCCGTAGTATCTGTGTTCAGCAAAAACCAGGATGGCATCTAATTCTTCGGCCACATTCCACATGAAACCCTGGAATGGAGCAAAGATCGTCATTTAAAAAAAAAATAAAAAAATTCAGTGAGAGAGAGAGACATGGAGAGATACAGAGAGAGGGGGAGAGAGAGAGACATGGAGAGATACAGAGAGAGGGGGAGAGAGAGACATAGAAAGATACAGAGAGAGGGGGAGAGAGAGACATATACAGAGAGAGGGGAGAGAGAGACATAGAGAGATACAGAAAGGGGGAGAGAGAGAGAGAGAGGGAGAGATACAGAGAGAGAGGGAGAGAGGAGAGATAGAGGGGGGAGAGAGGGAGGGAGGGAGGGGAGAGAGAGAGATGTCAAAAGGGTTTTGTGGCTCCCGGTGTTTTCTTTTCTGTGGGAAATGGGTCCAAATGGCTCCTTAAGTATTTAAGGTTGCAGACCCCTGTCCTAGGTCAAGGACCATCCGTGCAATAAAATTACAAAAACCCACAAAGGACAGATTAATGGACCGTTCAGTGTTTTTCTGCCCTTTAGTTTTCTATGTTTCTGACTTATATTGGAAAAATTCTACCCTTTTGTGGCATTGCAACCTTTTATCTCCTCCACAATCAGCTTCTGCCCTTTGGACAGTCAGGGAGGAAAATAAATAAATCTTAGTTCTAAAGAGGTAACCATGTTACTCTTCCAGCAAAAAAAAGGAAAAAAAGTGTGGGGGGGAAACCACAAGCGTCTTGTGACGTTTTAAGGACCCACAGATTTATCGTAGCAAAAAGCTTTCCTGGACAGAATGGGCTCTTTGTCCATGAGAAATTACGCTGCAGTAAATCTCTTGCTCTCCATTCGTTATTAAATAAAAGAAAGTGAATAATACGTATTTACGTCTTTAGCGAGCGTTCGAAGTTACCACGGCGCTGAAAAAAGGGACTTGCGGCGGTTTTTCACACTTAACGACGGTTGCAGCAAGGTCACGTGATCAAAATTCAGAAGCTTGGCATCTGGCATGTACTTATGACGGTGGCAGTGTCCCGGGGGTGTCACATGATCCCACTTTGCGACTTTCTGATGAGCCAAGTCAATGGGAGAAGCCAAATTCACTTAACAACCATGTTACTCACTTTTATGACAGTTGCAGGGTCCCGGGGTCACGTGATCCCCAGATTCACTTAGTGACCGTGTTGCTAACTTCACAACCGTGGTGATTCACTTAGCAACAATGGCAAGAATGGTCGTAAGCTTCACCACTGTCTCGCTTAGCAACAGAAATCTTGGACTCAATTGCGGTTGTAAATCAAGGACAACCTGTGTTTCCCAGAAAACACCCTTCTGCTTCCGTGCTAGCCTCCGAGAGTAGAATAGTTAACAGGCCACGATTCAAACTCACATCCTATTTGATTGTTGCCTGTATTAGAGGGTGAGCGACAGGTACGATAGTCTATATCCATGATGGCGAACCTATGGCACGCATGCCAGAGGTGGCACACAGAGCCTTCTCTGTGAGCACGCGTGCCATTGGCAGCTTCCTCTTCTGGTTTCCAGCACACGCAGGTGCTCCCGCCAGCTGGTCTTTGCACCAGAAACCTGAAGATCAGCTGGCTGGCGTGCATCCGTGTGCCGGCCACACGCTGGAAACCCGAAGACCACCTGGTCAGGGATGAAATGCTCCCGGTTCTGACCAAATCTGACGATCCGTTAGAGCCCATGGTCTGTGGTTCGGCCATCCGGTAGCGATGGCGGAGCAAAGCTCCGCCCACCCGCCGCAGTGTTGTTACTTCCTGGTTTTAACCAGGAAGTAATGTGTTTTTTACCTTCTGGGCATGCACAGAAGATTTTGCGCATGCACATCCTGACAAATGCCCTTCCCCACAGCGTCTCCTTAAATCTCAGTCCCCAAGTGTGTCTTGTGAAGAGGAGGGGCGCTCTCCTCCTGAGTAGTTGGCTGAGTCTGCACTGTTCTCACCTTCTCTCCACTCTCCGTGCTCGGAGATCAGGAGGGGGTGGTCCTTGCTCATCGCCTGAGCTCTGTCTCTCCTCATGTTCACTGCTTAGCCTCTCTTCGTCATCCTGCCCCTGTTCCTCCCTGCCTACAAGCCGTCCCAATCCTGAAGGGCCCTGGCCTGACTTGGCCTGCTCCTCCCCATTTTCCTCCGAAGCCAACCCCTCGATCTCCATCAGCTCCAGTTCCTGCTCGTCTTCCTCCGCAGATTCAGGCTCCAATGGGGACATGACAGATTGGGGTAGATTGCAGGAAGTGATACTGAGATATGATTTTATTTTATTTTATTTATCTATATGTTAAATTATTGTACTTTATCCCAATCTCATTTTAAATTGTATATTTATTCCAATTTCGCTTTAAATTGAATGTTATTCCAATTTCACTTTAAATGGCATTTTATCGGATTTTAGGAATAATTTGGCTTTGGAACTCTTCCACTTTGATATGGCCCGTGGGCTAATCAATAAACTAAACTCTAAGGTCTCTGATTTTGACGTATGCTCTTTGAATTAAAAGGAACATGACTTTGATTTGGATACCAGCACATTTTCAACATCCTTGCCTGCAGAAGTTATGGGAGCTTCATCCCTGGAAGCTTTCAAGAAGAGACTGGACTGCCATCTGTCAGAAATGGTGTAGGGTCTCCTACTTGGGCAGGGGGTCAGACTAGATGACCTACGAGGTCCCTTCCAACTCTGTTCATCTGTTCATCCTGTAGAAGTGGGAAGTGACAAAATTAGGGCTTCTGGATATTGTCACGAGGATATTGTCATCGATCAGGACTATTAGCAATTCTTGGCACACGAGGGGTATAAATCCAGTCCAATATGATCATTTATCTTTCTGCCTCTCTTATTTTTTTAATGTACAGCATTAATCTAAAGAGCCAGCTGGACAGCTGCCCGTTTTATTATATTTGCTTCAAAGGCATATTTATTTTTTTTAAAAAAATAAAAAACTGGGATCGGATTTCCAGTTTGGGTATCCATGCAACTCGGAAGCTCAGCAATTAGAGATGCACCCTTTATTATTTTTACTTTAAATACTTGGCTTTTCTTTAACACACAGTCAGGGGTGGGCTTCAAAAATTTTAGCAAGGGGTTCTCTGCCCGGTTGCTGGGTGGGCGTGGCCATGGTGGGCGTGGCTTAGTTGGCCTCCTGCACCACGGTGAGGGGGGCGTTTTTGCCCTCCCCGGGCTCCGGAGGCTTTCCTCGAGCCTCCGGGAGAGCGAAAATGGCCTCCCCAGGCTCCAGAGGCCCTCTGGAAGCTAGAAACAGGCCTTCCCGTACTTCCGGTAGGCCGTTTTTCACCCCTCCGCGCATAGATAGATACATAGATACTTCCACACCAGTGGTAAAATCCAAATTTTTTTACTACCGGTTCTGTGGGCATGGCTTGGTGGGCATGGCAGGGGAAGGATACTGCAAAATCTTCATTCCCACCCCACTCTGGGGCCAGCCAGAGGTGGTATTTACCGGTTCTCCGAACTACTCAAAATTTCTGCTGCCGGTTCTCCAAACTGCTCAAAATTTCCGCTACCAGTTCTCCAGAACCTGTCAGAACCTGCTGGATTTCACCCCTGTTACACACCCTGGACAAGTTCCCCTATATAACTATATGGCTGTACCCTATTTCTCTGCAGTTGCCCCTGAAGACAAACTCGTTGCTTTTAGGAATAAATATTTCCTCTTTCCTCACAGCTGTCTGGATCTCATTTTTATTTATTCTTGAGCAATCCTGGTAGAGTTATTCTTCTGACAGCATCCCTAGGACCTACTATAGAGATCCTTTATCCACAAGAAGTGTTAAATCAAATGAATGATCAAGTAAAGGAATATATATATCCTTGGCCTTCCCTGCTTAGTAGCATCCCTGTGATTTGATGGTTGCAACACAGAAAGCAGTAATTACTCCTCTCTTTCAATTTATGAAAATTCCGTTGCCCAACCTAACTTACATTCATTTCCCCCATTGTCTTCAGCCTGCGAAGCTACTCCAGAGCAAAACTATAAACACAATTTTTAAGCCTCTGCCCTACAGCAATAATCATAAAACACCGACAGTGCTAATGACAGCAGAGCAAATGTATTTGCATTTGATTGTGGTTCAGATTTGTTGAGCCATTAAAACAGACCGATTAAAATCAATGGGATTTAAGGTGGACGTCCCATAGATTTCAACATTCAGCAGCTACTCGGAATACCACCGAGTTAAGACTCATCCGCTGTTATCCTTACTACTATTGTGGCTATTATTTTCTGCCGAGTTCAAATACCTTTGTAGAAATACAGGACAGGGGAAGTAACCAAAAGTCAACCAGTAATACCCAATACGAAACAATGTTTATTTTAATTTCATTTTTCTCTTTGGCTTACAGAAGTTCCACAGTGTCATTTCTGTTTCTTGTGGCTAGAGTTTGTGCCTTGGATGTGAAGCCATATATACATTTCCTAAATAAATAAGATACCTCTGAAAGTCAGATGAATAAGAACTGTTTTTAATTTGGTAGCCAGTTTGGAAGTCTCTTGGTCTTCGTTGAGAGTTCACGACAGGGGTGAAATCCAGCAGGTTCTAGAGAACCGGTAGCGGAAATTTTGAGTAGTTCGGAGAACCGGCAAATACCACCTCCGGCTGGCCCCAGAGTGGGGTAGGAATGGAAATTTTGCAATATCCTTCCCCCAGGAGTGGGGAGGGAAAGGGGATTTTGCAGTATCCTTCCCCTAAGAATGGGGAGGGAATGGGGATTTTGCAGTATCCTTCCCTTCCACGCCCACCAAGCCACACCATGCCCACCAAGCCACGCCCACAGAACCAGTAGTAAAAAAAATTGGATTTCACCACTGGTTCACGATCACTGAAAAACCTTCTCTCTACCTGGTGGTTAAATTCAACTCTGAAGATATTTACACCTACAATAGGACATACATGTCTCTGGTAGATACTTAAAGTGGTCAGTTTTCTGTGATGGCGAACCTATGGCACGCGTGCCAGATGTGGCACACAGACTCCTCTCTGCTGGCACACGCACCATCACCCCGAGTCAG